ATTTTGTAAAATAAGAGTTATATCTTTTTTGTGATGCCAAGTCGTGTACCTGCGGGAAGCCATAACCTTTCAAAAAACAATCTTTTTCAGTGTAATGTTATAGTATGACAAACCTATCAACCAAGTAATGTATTATTACTAAAGTGACTGAAAGAACGAATGATTACCAAATATTGTCTATTTCTTACTAAAAATAGGAAAGAAATAACGCTATATGAAATTAATGCCATCTCTTTCTTTTTTGATGTTCCAAATCGTCTTAACGTAGTATAATGTTTAAGTACTTAATGGTATTTACATTTAGAGAATTTTAACTGTTAAAAAAAGAAAAATATGTAATAATGAAATCTATTATAATTACGTTGTTTTCAATTAGGTATTTTTCCGGATTTGAAAGAAAAATAAATAAAACAAGCTGAGTCTTAATTGTCACGTTGTAAATTCGGAATTATAATCTAGTGTCAACTGTCAGTGTCGAAAAGTAGCATATAGATGTCGCTGTCATAATTTTACGAAATAAACATAGCGTATTTTTATTTAAAAAGAAATTATTTCTAAGTACTATTAAATAAAAAATAATAAACAAAATATTGAAGAGATATATGTAAATAAATAAGTTCAACTTAACTTTTAATCATTACAAATCAATATTAAGACAATAAAAGTGAAAATAATATTGTTTCCATTGCATCCGTGTAGCTATTTTAAGATTGCTGAATTTGACATAGGAACAATATTACTTTAATGTCAAAGTCGCGTCATAGTACGAACTGAGTGAATGAATAGTCACAAAGCTGCCAATAAAACATCATAGTTTTAGCATTATAATAAGCTTACTTTAAGTAGGCGCTTAAAGTTAATGTAAGGTTAAAGTAGTAAGTGACACGCCAGCCTATAACAGTGGCGCTCAGAGCTATAAATTGCAAAGATCTGAGGGGCACAGCGCTGCGCCTGTCACTCTGAAACATACGTTGACAAGTTCCATGCGCCTATAATTTTACCAGCACCCTTACAAACTGGAACGCAGTAATGATCTTGCTACTATGTAATTAAGAAATTCAAATCTAGAACTTAAACTATCATGCATATGCCCTTATATAGCGCTTGTGGATAGTCAAATGTACCTAGGACTTACAATTGATAATCGTATGAAATGGACGGAATATATCGATGCGGTTTGTAGTAAACTAAAAGCTATTCTTGCGAAATTTGCATAAGAAAAAATAAACTTACTTACCCTATTTTACGCAACCTGTATATGTCACTCGGAGAATCAATAATTGGATACGGACTTACCACCTACGGCCTAACTTGTAAAGGTCACCTAGATTAAACTTACGGAATGCATCTAAGAATACTAAAAACTATAGTACCTTCTAAAATAAAACTAAAGTACAAAGACGTTTACCGCTGTTTGTTCCACCACTGCAAAATACTCCCTATGCATGAAAAATTAAAATATAATATGCTGTTAGCCGAACACTTTTTTGATTAAAGTTTACAATCTACCTACAGTGACGAAATAAAGACGCGAAATGTCTATAGTAATAAATTGTTAATACCGTCTTATCGAAATCTTTATGGTAAAAATAGATTAAAATATATAATATCTTATCTAAAAAACAAAATTCCTAAAGAAATAAAAATATCGTTAAATTGTAAAAACATCAAACTTAGATTTTAAAAATACGTTTTAGAAAAAATAATACGTGATTGAAATATATAATAATTATAGCCTTCTAATTTTAACTAACAACATACATAGGTATTAACTTAAAATGTATTTTATAGGTACTGTTCACAACCATTTATTAGATTAGACTCGTGTTCAGCGGTGGGATGTATATACAAGGATCAAGGTTTAGTGACACCTTTATTAACGACTCTCACGCACACTAGAGGAATGTCAACACGCAGCAGTACGAACGCACACACTACATAGAAATTATTTGTACGACGAATGAGCGAAATACGGAAAAACTTAATTAAGTTTATGTTATACTGGAATGTTTTGTTTTTTTTAGTGCTTTAAATGTAATAAATAAATTTAAAAAAATACTGCTTGGCGGCAGAAATAGGTAAGGTGACAGTACTTCTCTGGAGTGGCTATTAAAACATATAACAGCAGTGATCATTGTTTAATCTATTGAAAGTAACAAACAGCAATCTATTACCATTACAATTTTCTTACTTTTTTATTGTATTCAAACGTACAGACGTTAGACTGTTCATCTGCTGGAACTTGGGAACCGCTGTCTATTCATAATATAACATGGGTTGCCAGCTGCGGGACAAAATATTTGAAATCTCCTGTACAAAGTACCGACTTTGCCTATGGTGCAGGGCGTGTGACGCACGCTACGCGTCAAACCAAACCACTGTAATATCAAAAACAGCATTTTTGAGAAAAACTTCGTAAAGAATTTTTCGGATTTTTGTACTTTTTGAGGTTAGTAACGTAAAAAGATATATTTAACTTCCGTTGTACATTAGATATTAAAGAAAATTTGTTATTTCTATTAATAAAACGAATAAATTTCTTTTCCCTGGGTAACATCAGAAAGATTTTTGTTGTTATGAAATTACAAAACACTGTGTTTAACCTTGTAGTACCTATTTTGGTTTGACACGATAGAATGTGGTTTTTAATTGTTAAAATTTGAGCCGCGACAAATATTAGTGGACTCCCCGCTCCTGAGGCGTTTGCGCGATCTTAGGGTCGTATTCCAGAACTGTACTCAATGCTCAAGTCAGGAGTTGAGCAGACTTCAGTATGATTTCAAGCACTGGAAATACGACTCTAATGGCAAGGTCTTGAGTATGATTTTCAGTGCTCACTGCAATACTCAAGTCCTGACTTGAGCATTGAGTAGAGTTCTGGAATACGACCCTGAGAGTGTTCGCTAACTCAGGCGCCCCGCAACACTGTAGCTACTGCATTTCGTGCGCATAATAGTCAAACCAAAAGACTGTATTGCTGCGTATCGTGTTATATAAAAATTAGTAAATTCTAAAAGTTAGTATATTTTAGTTTTTAATATCTCATTCAAAAACTCTAAACCCTCCAAATTTGAAATGTCAGGGTATAGATTAGGCCTAGAGAAACCATATGAGCGCTGTTACATCAAAGCACTGTAAGTGACTTTACTTATTGTTTTGACACGGCAGCACGGACGCAAGTTTATAGGGCGCGCCGAGGGTCTCTCACGACACTTCCAAAAAGCCTACGTGTCTCGCGGCGCTAAAGTAGTAAACGGGCTATTATTTCCCTTCATCATTTATAATTGCATCATTTGCACCTGAATTTCCGATCGCCAGAATATCGATTACACTCGGGCGCTATGTCGACTATAGTCCATTTGCTTAGGTACTTCACTAAATATAAACAATTTTGATACATCTTTTTATTGAAACATATACTTTATAAATCAATAGGTATAAAAATAGGCATGCAATTTCATATAAAGCCAACTATTTGTATTTTGTATTTAAAGGTAAGTAAAAATCGTTCATTTTCATCATTTCATTAAATAGACATCTCAAGATTGTTTACATTTAATTAAGTACCTAAACAAATGGACTATAGCGCCGGCGCTCCCTGTACCTATGACTGCACTGGCTCTTTCTGCCCTTTAATTCAGAGAATAAACAAAACCCTACCCACTGTAACGGTTTCACCACATTGATTAATCGGCTTAAGTCAGTCAGAAAAAGCTTAAGAGTCGAGACTACCTTTTCGCGTACCAATACGGTTCATTTTGCTTGAGACGAGTGGCAGGGACAATGGCTTTATTTCAGAATTAATTTTTTACAAACGAAATTAAAGCCATTTGAAAAATTCATGTCGTATCTACTATACGTGTTCTATTTAGTTCAGTTGACATAAAAAAATGTAGGCATATGTGAAGTACCTATTAAATACAGCGGTTTTCTTGTAAAATGTCGAGACAAGTTTGTGTTGTTTTTCTATCGAGAAAATGTTTAGGAATCGCGTTTTCACACCATATAGTAATCGATATGTATCCTCAATTTCACTATATATCTTTTTCCTAAGCGATTGATTTAACACTTTCACTGTTATGCAGAATCAATCAAAGCCATTTTAGTTGTATAGAGTCTTAAATGACGTTGCGCGTGATGTCCACTCACACTTGAAACGCACAACGTCTTTTTCGCTCTTTAAATATGACAGACATGAAGCTTTCACTGAAAGGCTTAAAGCGATTCCGTGTCGATAAGTGTGGTAACTCCTTAAAACGATCATCAATACCTAATCATAATCCTTCATCAATAAGAACGCACGATTGTAAACACATTCAGTCACAATGTTCGAATATTTACCAAATAGTATTGTTTCATCATTGACTTACAATTATATGGACGTCGGGTCCGCGCTAAAAAGTGTCCGAACTTATAGGGCGTTAAAATCGTATACAGAGCGTCATTCACGCTTTAGTCTTCGTTTGTTTGACTGACAGCGAAACAAGCAAAATTAGACAGTACTGCGATGACATTACAATTTAAAAGCTTTTTCATATCCCTTTACATGTCACTACGTTTAAATAGGTTGACTTGGGACATTTTTTTCGTGGTTTTTGTATTATACCCGTCGTCCATTTATTTGTAAGTCAATGTGTTTCATAGTAGTATTTGATGTTAAAAAGAAAACAGTTAAATGGTGTTCGTTTTGTTACAGGTAATCTGTCGAGTTCATCATCGTAAAGCAATTTTTCGAGTCTGCAGAATCTTGCTTTCATACTGAACACTGTTTTTAATAGCTTTCAGTGAACCCCAAAAATTAATTACGAATTAAATTAACTCTGAAGAATTTAACGAGGGTTCATGTTTCTAATTATTATTATTTTAAAATTTCGTCAACTTTTAAAATGTTACGGAACTTCAATCACAATGCTAAAAATACAGACCTGATGTTTTTTTGCTGGGTGGAAATTGATGACAGATTACCGGAAAAGTGCGGAATATCTGAAACTCTTATCCTTGTCTCTTTCCCGGAAACATCCCTAAGGTCTGAGTTTGTTGTAAACGTATTGTTACGGCTCCCCATTTTTCACAAGCATCTTATTTCTAAACTGACTAAACCCGTTTTAAATGTCAGAAAACGTAACTCGGGTAATAAAATAGTTATTTTGGTTTATGTCGCCTGTTCATTTTATTGGAAAATAAATGTACGTAGGTATTTATCACTTTATAATACTTTTATAGTTTATGACACTTTACAACACGATATAAATAGCTTTTATTTTCCTTTCAAAAGATATTCTATAGGCCAGAGTATTAAGCACGGGAGACAGCACACTGTTAGGGCGTAGAAAGCAGGAACGTAATCTTCAAAGACGTCTTTCAAAAGACCTGGAACAAAAATTTGTAACTATACAAAGCAAACTCTTTCTCACGTAGGTAACCATTTTTCATCATTTCTCTTGGCTTTACGATTCAACAACTTTCTTAGTGTACTAAGAAAGTGGTACTATATTCAAAGAAGGCTGCAAACAGATGGACTGTGCAGTCGACATACTTCGGTATTTAAGTTTGCAGTTGAGACTTTAACTGCCTGCAGTAGAGATTTAAACTGCAAGCGTCGACTACAGTCAATTTGAACGATAGTCCGAGAATCAAAAGCAGCAATGTATATTTTAGGACAAAAAATTTTTTTTTTAAATTCTGAAACAACTTGATTAATTTCAGAAACGTTAAAAGGTAACGATTACTTGAGGGTTTAATCAAGATACACATTAAACTATCGTCGACTTCATCGTCACTTTCCATCAGAAGAGATAGAGGTCCAATGCACACGTATATTTCATAAAAAAATCATAATGGTAATACAAAAGCACGATTGGTGAAACTTTTCTCGACGGACTTATCAAATTTGCATAATTCGTAAGATATATATTTTTTGGGTATTGACACTTTCGTTTACATTTATGATCACAAATTCCACGGCAGAGTTACTTTGAGTGAGTCTGTTCCGAATTGAAACTAGAGGATTTCGACAGCTGTAAGTTTATATTATATATTTCCTAATCAAAAGTAGGCATTTGGAATCATAAATGTTTTGAATACAGTGACGCGCTACAAATTATAACATTTGTGCTTTCATTTCAACATCAACAAATACACTAAGCTCCTGATCTACACGGTAGGCGATAACTGCTTGCGGTTAGAGCCGACTGCATGCAGTTAACATATGGCAATTTAGCGCATGTGGTCGTTTGATAGACAGCCGAAATGTATAGACAAGTGTCCTACATCTCCGATTGTTTTTTTAAGCCCCAGGCGTAATAAATTATCAACACAACCAAAAAATGTGAGTTTTCAAGTTGTTAAAACATCTGACAACAAACATTAGGCTTCCATAAAATCTTACATAAATACCAATCTCTGTTTAAGATTGAGTGTTCGCCAAAGACAAGTGAGCAGATTAAGTCGCCTCTCAGAAAACTCTTAGAAATTAATATAATATTCCTGCGTAACGGAGGGCAAGAAGTAAATACAGTCTACTTGGTGTCGAGATGTAATTTTTCACGCGCTCGGACTCGGTCCTGGAGCAATTTATCAAGACCACCACCCGCGCTATCGTTATGAAAGCCGGCGAGCAAATCCTGTACATTTATTACCGCCTGGTGGTGAATACTGTCTCCAATGCTCTTGAGTACAACAAATGACCTTCTATTTTCACAAGCTGAGAAAATGCCGCTTCAGTGTACTCAAATCTTTATGTGCTTTTTTAAAAGAACACAATCACATTATGTTTATTTTCATCGTCGTCATTAATTTACCGCCAATGCAGTGACAAAAAAAAGGGAAAGTATCTGTACGTTGTTACCGGGCAATTAATTACATTGGAAGTGAAACTATTATTGCGGATGTAACATTTGTTTTTCAAACAAAAATCCGTTCCTTGTTGTTACAGGTGTTTATTGATTAAATATTCATACAAAAAATATTATTATCGAACAACAAAAAGAAAAATGTTTTCGATGTGTCCATAATTTCACAGCACTTAACCATCTGAGCTATCAATATTTATTATATTATCAATACAATGTTATATATTATCGACCTTTTTATTAATAATAATAAAAACAAGTGTTGTTTCAACAAAAAATATATAAATATCATGATAGTAAAACATCATGATGTGCAATAAATAAATATTGTAATAGTTTCATTTCCAATGTAAAGTAATCGCAAAAAATCTAGATCTTAAAAAATAAAGGATCTAATAAAAGATCTAAATAAAGGAAAAGGAGGATAATAAAAAATCTTAAAATCTTGTCAAGATTATAAACTTCATTTGCTAGCGATGACTAGGATTTTAACGGGAGAACATGGCTCTATTAACAAATAGGTTTCTCCTCGTATCCTCAAGGCTGAGATAACTGAGGTTCAATTTTGGATATTATTACTTAGAATTAGAATTAGAATATAAGGTTCTTGTTAATTATAGTAGGTGTTATTAAACAATTTTCTTTAGTCTTACCTATGAGAGGTGCAAAAGTGACATTAACCAGACCAGCAGACAGCATGAAAAGGGCATAAGCCCCAGGGAAGTCTGCATGTGTGACATGGTTTGATATGACCAAAGGACTGGTCACATGGAGCCAGGCCCTGAGAATACCTAATACAGCTGTCGCTGTGGCTACGTAGTAGAACTCACGTAGTTGGAGTACGACTGAAATCATAAAATTAGACAAATTAGTATGCGTTTCGAGGAACACTTGCAAACCTAATTTATGGATGGCTACGGTGTGCTAAATTCTTTAGGCTTTAGGTTCAACTTATTATTCTGAACGACGCAGTCGCAAGTCGTTAGTCTCATTAATTTGCTGAGTTGCTTATCGCTTTACAGCCAGGCAAAAAACTCTTGAAATTGTAAAAACCAGATTTGGTAAATAGGTTTAAGAATATTTGTAAGTCTTTCTGTGCTTCACAAAATGAAAAATGGGGAAAGCAAATAGTATATCCGAACGTCCAATTGATGTATTGGTACACTTTAGTTCCTTTTTGTTGGGACACTTTCATCCCTTTCACTTCCTTTAAGATTTGTTTATGTGACAAAAAGTACCCCTACGCCTTTCTCCTAGGTACCATCCCATCTATGTCTACACCTAAATTCATCAATATAATAAGGATTTCAATAAGGATAAGGATTTTCAATCATTTATCGATAATTTAATAAAAACAATAAAAATGCCCATGATATATAATGATAATTATTCAACCTTGGGTACTTACCTAATCTAAGCAAGAAAGTGAACAATGTAGAAATGTAGAATAAGGTCCTGGTGTTAACATTAACAATACCACTGATAAAGGCAAGAGCACATCGCCCTGCGACATCAGCCCCTGCGCATATCGATATACACGTAGCCACTTGTGTCTGCAAAATAATAAAGATATATATGTAAAAGTTGTCTTCTCGTCACCACTCCCGCAGTGCCTGAAGACCAGCGTTAACAACCAATGCGTCCTACCAGTGACTTACGGAGCCGAAACGTGGAATATGACGGTCAAACTGGCTCACAGATACGTCGCTCAGCGAGCTATGGAAAGTCTATGCTGGGCATCTCGTTAAGGAATAAAGTCCGAAACGAAGTATACATAAGACTAAAGTTGTGGACATCGTCCAGAAATTTAGCAAGCTGAAGTGGCAGTGGGCTGGCCACATCTGTCGCAGAACCGATAAGCGATGGAGTAGACGGGTTCTCGAGTGGAAAGCACGTCTTGGCAAACGTAACGTAGGATGTCCCCCTGCAAGGTGGACCAACGATCTAAAGAAGGTCGCGGGTAGAGGTTGAATGCGGAAAACGGGTGATCGGGCACTATGGCGTCCACTTGGGGAGGCTTATGTCCAGCAGTGGACTGCAATAGGCCGATAGATTGATAATTGATAAGTAAATGCATATTTTTAGATTATTGATCGCAATACATGACAAATACAACAATTAGGTTAATGTCAAATAAACTCTCCTGTTAATTACTTTTATTATGTGAAATATTTGGCTTTATGTCTTAAGTTAATCCAGTGGAAGAAGTAACGTCTATACAGCTTTATGTAAAACTAATACTGGAGTTAATCTTCAACCTCATCTTAAAATGTTCCTCTTTTAATAATATCAAGTAATGATACCATGTAATTGTTTTGACCTCATAAAGATTTTATTGCACCTAAAAACAGATTATCTAGATAAAAATAGATTGATAGTCATACGTACAGAATCATAACCATATTGAAATAACAGCATTGGTTGAAAAATGAAGAACGTAAGGTCAGAGAAGTTCATAAAACTCTGACCAACGCAGATGTTGCAGTAGACTGGATCATTCAAAATCTTTACATGAAATGTATCAAGTACTTCCATACTGGAAAAGGAATGATAAATAATAAAGTAACATTTGGTAAAATCTATCAAGCTCCTTGACTTAATATCATCCTACCAAATTTTATTAGCGCCTTTTTTGTTTCTTGTGCATCTATTGATATCAATCACTTGTTCATCAGGTTTAAAATTTACTAAATCAACGCTTTCGTCATGTTCGTGTTCACCTTTGATGTTATCTGTAATTTAAATTAATATTTTATTGTTGCGTATCATTATACTAAAATTCACTAGTTGATAAAGGAAAAATACTTGCTGTTCTTAATTTTCGTTGCGGCATTTCTTTAGTCTTCATTACTAACATTCCTGGTATTGTATGTAGTGCAATTCCACTTATAATCAACAAGGTACCTCTAAATCCATAGATATGTAACATATTCTTCAAGAATTGTGGGTACCACATCAATATTATTCCTTGCAACGCTTTACACACACTCATGACCATTGTCCTTTTGCGTACGTAATAGTAATTGATTGTTGAATAGCAAACCGGAACCATCATTCCGAAACCGATTCCTTGTAACGCACCAAATGTTATAGGCAATTGGTTAGTACTTATTATAAAAATGGTTGTGAAAGAGCCTGTTAACATTATGATAGCTCCAACTAACCCTCCAAGTCTTAAAGAATATCTTTTTGAAGTGATGTTTAAAATTATACCTAAAAACAAATACTTAAGGATTATGAACATAAAAAACAAAGGAAATAAAAACTTTGATAAGAAAAATTTAGGTAGAAGCGTAGTTGATAACAAAGTGTAGAGAAATTTCAAGTTTTGACTTTTCTCTGTAAAAGACACAATTGATGGCAATTAATGTACAATAGCAACTTAAGTTATTGTCAAAATTAGTAGCAGTCATATAATACTAATGTAATGTGCTGCACCATACGGTTTGAGAACAGTTGCCGGAGAGTGAAAACTATGTAAGAATATAATGTCCTGGCCACCAACATTAACGTACCCAATCATAGAGGAGGATGATCCCGCATTAATAAACAAACAATCAAATAGCTAAATGCATCGAAACATCCGCTCGTATTTACAATATTAACCATGAGGGCCCTATTTATCAAACAATTAGATTCGTCCATGAATTTACGTACTTCCTCCGTTTATCACACGTCTCTAAATTAGTCCCTTCTCTTTTTCATTTACACTTTCCACTATTTGGTCGTTGCACGTTTGAACGTTGATCTGATCTGTTTTATGAACGACCGAGTCCTAGCTTCAAGTCAGGAAAATGTGCACCGTTGCAAACTATTTCCTTAATTTTAATCCCATGTATCTAGATAATAGCTAATCAACATACCTCCAAATGCAAGCATAACAGCGAAGACTCCATGAGCAGAAGTCAATGACTTGGCTGTCGAATGAGTATCATTAATGAAATCTTTATAAATTAAGCCAAATGAATTGACATGGCCGATACCAGCTATCTGAAAAAAAAAACCAAATTTATGATAATATCCTTTTCACACCCTCGTGTTTTGCAGATTGCAACGATTTGCAGATTAATATACATATAACTTATAATGTTAACTATAACATAAGGATGTTACTACATCAAACTAAAACTAGAGAGAGCATGTTGCGTAATGGAATGTTAAAATTTACACTGTTGTGAAGGACTTTTAAAATTATTTAAAATTGAAAATGACACGAGGTGTGACCATAATGGTTCAATTCGCAAATTTAAAGTACAACAGACAAACGCTATCGGTTCACCAAATTTTGTTTAAACATAAAATTGTAAGCGTTAATACAACAAAGAAAATAACACTCGGCCTTGTTTCAAATATTGTTTATACAATACTCAATATCTATTATGCTACCTGTCACTCTACTGGTCTGAGTCGTCATAGATTATTCAAATAAATAATTAATTTGAATAAATGTCCAAATGACACACATTTTTACCTCAATGACATAAATTGTCATAACATTTGTTCACATTTTTTAATCTTCTGGAAATATATTATTTTAGCAAACAGATTCATGATTAATACAACAGTTTAATTCCACAGCCATTAAGTTATAGCTACATAAGAATTGATGCAAATTAGCGCTGAGAAATTAAATACGCACATCCTTTATAAATTCTAATAGATTTGTCTAATAGATGAAGTGTTCTGTCTATACAAAATCAAATGACATCATAAAATAGAGTCATAAGACAGTTTCTCGTTCGTGGTTGGAATGTCTTTCGTCCCTAAAGATACGTCAGTGTCAGCTTGTATAACCGAGCGGAATCGTGATGAAAATTTAATATTTTTAATATAGAACTAGATCAATTGTCATGACAGTCATCTTGAACTGGTTTTGGTATACCTATTAATTTAATATCATACTGTTTTGACATGAAATACATTTATGCATTAATTGTAACAAACTGACAAAGCCACAGATGCCTCTATGACTAATTTACAATTATGGAAGTAAGACACAGGGTCCCTGTGTTTATTCGTTCGACAGAATTATCTTAAAAATGTGGAGGAACCACCTTGATAGTAACAGTTAAAGACTCAAAGGCTGGTCTACATTGTCCAACGTAACAATATACATAGCCAAATAAAAGGGGAACACTGTCGGGATTTTGAGCATCCGGATGCGAAGCACCAGTTTCGTCCAATTAATTTGCAAGCATTTGTTGTATGTTAGCATGTGTATAAAAAAAACAGTTTTTAATAAACAAATTTTATATATAACTTCAAGAAACTTGATATACCTATAAATGACGACAATTAATTAGTGCCTTTATCAAAACATAAATTATTTTATTACAGTTATTTACATTCAGTGTAGATATAGTTTTATTTTATTGTATAACGTTCTATTTGTCTTGTGTCGTTACAATTGTGTTTGTGTGTTGTTATAAAGGACACTCTGTGATTAATAATATCACAATACCATTTTAGCAGAAAGCACTGACGATTGGATGCGAATGTGCAAAATATTTGTTTTTCTTTTTCTTAGCGAACTACACTATATTAATTTGACTCAATTCCATATGGTTGAATACTATGCTCGAAAATATAAAGTTTTCAAACCAAGCATTCAACTCGTTCTTATTGTCTTATAATATACTAGTAAACAGGAAAATACTTACAAAAGTAATTACTGTTCCAAAACAAACAGCATAACCCCACTTGCCCTTTTCTTCTTCCTTCAGTTCTTCGTTTGTATTGCTACTATCATCTGAAGTCGCACTTACAATTATATCGATATTTGTTACGATCTGTTTATCGTTTTCACAATCCATAATCGTGCCCACGTTTGTACTGTTTGTTGGCGATAGTCTGACTGCCCGGATGCTCTAGATAAAGCAATATGTACGATAAATTGGTCGTATTATACTTGACAAACTCCTTTGTTTACTTTATATTATAAATAGGGTTGGAAATATGATATTCAGTTGTGGTTACTATTTTTCTAAGAAGTTATATTACCCTTCAGAATAGGTAAACCCCAAATCCAAATACATTTAACCAGAAATCTGATTTTCATTCACAGAAAAATAAACATAAAGCTACTAAAATGTCCTAATACAGATTCATGTATTTGTTTATTTAAAGATACACCATCAACTTTAAACAATCTTAGAAATAAATATACATACATGTAATATGTAAACAATAAGTAACTTATTATTATTATGTGATAGTTACTTCTTTCTTGCATGTCCACATGTTTAAATTTATAAGACAAACCGAGAAAGAAAGAGAAAGAGCTGTTCAAGCAGCAATACTTTTGTATGACGTTTTTGATAGTGTATTTTTAGTCGTAAGTAGTTGCGTTTTTTTTGGTACCTTTTCTTTAACTACAAAATCTAACTGTAAATACCGTTGAATTGCAATCAATTTGTTTCTAAAATATTTAAGTTATACTTACTGTTTTATTAGAAGGGATTTCATTCATTTTCTAAAATACAAATACTCTGATGCCTTACTGGGTTACCAACAGGAACCTTTACTCCACAAGTTCTAGTCGCAAGTTATTTCATAATCGTTTAGATACCTAATCAAATAATATGGACTGTATTAATAGTAATAACAATATCCTTGGTGATGGTTTCCGCCTCAGTAGAAAATGTTCAAAGAGTACGAACAAGAAGCACAATATGACATCACCTGACGTCGTATAAAAATAACTATGTTAGTATTTATAGATTCAAATAAACGCCACAAAGTGAAATTTATCTATTTATAATAATCTCAAGAAGGCTATGAGTAGTTTTTATAAGGGTAAAATAGTTTTGATGATAATTAAAGCTTTTTAGAAACAAGAAAAAATATAACAATATTTTTAAAACAAATTCAAGCTGGCGAATAAATTAAGCTGGGTGATGAATGTGGATCGTTAAACGAAAAGGGGAATCCTGTGTGACCCTAATGTCTTTAATAGAATAAACACGAGCAAGGGAAACAAGTTCCGCAATAATTAATAATAATAACAATAACACACACACTCAACATAGCCCCGCACTAAGGAAACCCTATGTCGCAGATGCCATGGACAAATACATAAACAAGCACAAATTACACCCAAACTCACGAGAAGGATAAATGTAGGCCCTACAAATATTTCTCCCGGCACGGAAATCGAACCTGGGACCTCTGTGTGGCAGTCATGGTAACCGTTCGGCCACGAAGGCAGTTATATTATTAATTGGCAAGTAATGGCTCTTGTATTTAGGTGAAGTATAAAAATGTAAATATAAAAAAATGTAAATAATAGGATAGTAAAGCTTTAGATGGATTTTATTAGAGTTTGTGTCAGATACTACACGTCCAAAGGACAACATAATTAGTTTTAAGTCATCTGCATAATGATAAAGGTGGAGTTCAAATTGTCACTTTCAACGCAATAAATAATTTGATAAAGTAAGAGAAAGAGGGCCAAGAATTGAGCCTTGACCTACCCCGGAGCGAATTGATAATACAATGAAATTTATGGGCGCATTGTTCTGTCGTAGGCAAACTGCAAAGGCTTGAAGCGATTTTGGAGTGACGCATACTATTCAGGTATTACCACTGGTGTCGTTAGCAACAGAATCAAAGGCTTTTTTGAAATCCAAGTATGCTCGATGATTAAGAGGTTTGTGTTCACCGAATGGGTCTTCGTGAAATAATATTGCGTGATTTGAGTATAGATGAGTTTGTGCTTCTATTATATGAACACCTTTTCCAGGTATGAAAATATAGCCGTAAGACAACGATATCTATCTATGTCGCTTACCACCAGACACACGATTTGTTCGTCCTGTCACCTGGTATCATAAAAAAAACTCACGAGAATTTTAAATTTTCAAATTAATTTTTAAAATGACTAAGTAATATGACGAGTTTTTTTACAATATCTTCAAGATAAGTTGGAATATAATTAGGTTTTAGGTTTTTGAAACTGTCTCTTTATTCTATTCTATTTCCTTAATGGCGGCCACTAGGCTTGGGCCAGTGTTAGTTTCGAACTGCCTCTATATTTTTTCCATCCTCTAAGCTTTATCTTTCCATCTAAATGTTAACAATGACAGTCATTGAAGCGACACTCTTATAATCTGACGTATTTTAACTATCTAATCTGTAGAAAAGTGATAAAATCATTCGTTGTCAATTATTGCTCTTTTATCATTTACTTACACATATAAATTTGTAGTGTTACACGTATGAACTTCAAAAACTTTACAATTTTATGCGATCGATCTTTTTGTTATCTGACTACTGAGAAAAAACTAAGCCGATAATAATAGGCTATCATTATCCCTAGCGATTGAAACCCCGTTTTATTTAGACATTATAATATTAAAATATTTTATACCATATTTTACACTTATTATTAAATGAATTCATTGAACTATTATTATTTTAATGAGCTATTGTCCATCAAAATAGTAATATATAGAAATATAGACATCATTTCTCATAATATTAAGAATATATCATTAATTTAAAAAAATGCAATTCAATAGAAGCACTTCATGAAACTTTTATAGTCTATATTAAAGCCTGTATACAAATTCGCGTACTAATACAGAGATAAAACAAATTTTATATGTAACATAACTTTTATTTACTGACGAATTATGAGATCTTTTTTACCTTACAATAAAAGGTTTATATCTAAGGCCGCTTATACATTGCAGCGATCGACCACGCTGGTGGCGTTGAAATTAGATTCACTAAACCAAAATGCACAGGGTCACGGCATGTCGTGCTTGACACTTAAGATTTAAATTCAACTCTGAGGTCAGAACGGTACAAAATCCGAAGTGTCAAATGTGCAAGGGATCACGATCATCCACAGCGACTTACGCATTCTAAGAGCACCTTGAAATTGACGCTAAAAGAAACACTGCAGCAGCGCGACAGCAGCGCGTCTGTAGCGCTTCAGTTTTTTAGCTCACTTTGTGACCTCCATATTGGCGCTGCAATTGCGCTTCTAAATATTGTGTATGTATGAAAATTAGTAGTGGCGCAGCTGCAGCGTCACAGTGGAGCCACTACCACGCTTCTATAAGCGTCTAATTTGAAGGCGCCCTTGGGGCGCGTTCCCATTTTATGTCGTGACAACAGTAGTCGTGCAATTAAAGAGTCGTGACTTGTATATTTAAATTAAGTTGTTCACATATATTTAGTACGACGCGATTAACTGTCGTTCACGACATTTTTGACGTTACGACGACAGACTGTCGTGACAATGGGAAGAGCTAGAACGATAGTCGTCTCACGATAAATAAAACGTCACAATAGAAATGTGACGACAGATAATGGGAACAGGCTAGACACGATAGTCGTACAGCGATAAATAAAACGTGACGACATAATGGAAATGCGCCCTCAGCCTACAAACGTGTTGTGTGCCGACAAGACATCCCGCTATGCTATGGATTGTGACGGAGAACGTGCTATGTATAGGGCTGCCTAATGTTTATGGCAAAATCTTAACAATAAATCTTATTTGCACTAAAAAGTAAGAAACCTTAATAAAAAAAACACCTGTTATAACAGACAGGTAGTCAACAATTAATACTTACTTAGTCTACTCAAGAAAACAACCAAGATTTCGCACCCTTGGTCTAATAAGGCCACATCTGCAAAATAATAACTTTCAGGAAAGAGTATTAAAAAGTCGACCAACGAAATTAGTCTATAACTTTTTATGTTTAAATAGGAGAGGTATAAAATTTCGCATGGCCGTAATTTATGACTATCTACTATATCTTTTTTATAACATGTGACGTATGACATGTGCCTTTATTATACCAAGGATACTATTTTCTGATTTAAAAAATCGCTAAAAATATAAATCTGATAAGTATGAAAAGGAACATTTTCAATATGAGAACTATCTCAGTAAATTAATTTATTATATACACAAAGAAATTACCTACTATTATAAACTAAAATACCAAATTGTTGTTGTCGACACAATGTCGTCTTCCTTTGTTCGAAAACGTAACGTAAACGTTTGTGTAACCTTTGTTATTTTGTACTTATAGTCTTGTAAATCTTATTAATAGCTTTGAACACTTAAGTAAACAAGTTTATTAAATCTCTTTAGGCAGTGTTTGTACGCATGTAACAAATATTAGCTCTAAATCTACGCTATCTCTTAGGAGGAAAACTCACTTATGATAATAATTTGCGGCGGTACTTCTATAAAAACACATTTTCTTTACGCACCTGTTGTGATAACCCCAAGTGTGTTTCTCACCTAAATCTTGCATTTCCTATCATGGTTGCTGCGGATACAGTTTTTTACACATCAAGGTGGACGCTGATTTGTTACCTTAACTACATATTATCTTTATTGAATCTACATGACAAATTTTTTGAAATGATTTTGTGACATTTAAACAAAAGGGAAATGAAACTATTTTTCCGGATTTAAATCGTACATTTGTTTTTTCAAACAAACCAACGTTTCGGGCCCTTTATAGGACCCATGCTCACGGATGACTGAGGTGGTAAAGTCATCAAACAGTTATGTCTAATATTAATGCAAACCACCCTATTTTTTCACTACAGTTACAAAAGTTATTAATTAATATTAGAATTAATTTTAGAAAAAACATTCCAATTTACGCTACGAAATAAATCCGGAAAAATTGTTTCATTTCCGATATGTAACAATCGCAAAAACCTAAGAACTCGATATTTAAACAAAAAATCAACCTAGAAACCGATCAGTCTGCCTAGTATAACTATACTGGAATTTTCTCAAAGGTAAGCACGAAAGCTGAGCTGCTTTTTCGGCTTGCAGCCTGTTTCTGAATGGTTTGTATATTAATGTCACGACGCCAACATCCGCAATGAATGCGGAGTCTGATGCTGATATTTTAATTTATGCTGATATTCACAACAACCCTGGTTCCTACATAAAACCCGCAATCTCATCGATTTCACACAAATCAACCTTTTAAAATCGAATATCATAAGATATATTTTTTTTTGCACTAAACTAAAACACCACGTAAATACATATAATAGTGGCAATTAGAAAGTCAGTGTCTCGAAAATCCACTGAACCAACCGATTAATACCAATTCAATAATTGTCATTTATCCAAGACAATTAAATATTCCCGAAAGTAACCTAGGCCAGGTTCACGTTTCCAAAGACTTCATAGGTCCCTTTCTGCAAGTGAGCCTAAAAATGGCTTCAGCGGTCCAGGGTATTACGCAGCACAGGTTGCAAATGGCCAGCATAGAGAACGCGACGCTGTAACTTCCGGTGTAGTCACGGACGAAACCTGAGAAAAAACAAAAGAACTTTGAGCAATAATTGAGAAATGCTTCGAAAGACAATGATACGATATCGGTTCTTAGATTTTCGCGATTGTTACACATAGGAAATTAAACTATTTCTTTTTCGGATCTAATTCGCATCGTGTGCGTCGCCTGGAAACCGTTCCGCGAGGCGATGATTTACCTATACGATAGACAATAAAATTTCACTCTGTATATAAGTGTACGTCAATTATGAGAAGGTCCGGGCAGCAGTTCCCAAGAAGGGACTCAACTCCTGGACCCCGATTCAGAACTCTTCAATATGTTAACCGAATGATTGAATATCGTTCTCGAATCGAAGAGCACTTTCCGAGTTATTCAGAACATTCGAGTTAAATGTTCGATTCGGGTTCGGATACGATATTGTTATTCAACAGCGTTTACGGAGTTAATAGGTGGAATAGATTACATGAAAAATAAAAATCCTTTTATATAAATTTTTAAGATTTTCAAGGCATAAAATATAGGAATGCCTTAGTCTTGTATTAAAATAAATTAATAAAATTTAACAAAATCCAGACTTTATGTAAAATAATAACAGATTTCCATATTATATTCATGGTTTGTGAACAATAAGACTTTCGGTAACTTTCATACGATAACTGTGTTCTGAATAACGTTTGTAGGCTTTGCCGGCTGAGAAGCTCGAGTAATCGGGTGCGACGTCATTTCGGTTAGTTTTCGAATGCGACAGTTTGACATTCGATTTGGGTGTTGTGAATAAAAATGAAGAGAATTCGTACGATATCAAATCGCATCGGTCAACAACTGAGTTATCGTAAGGTTGTGAATCGACCTGCTGGTTAGTATAACTGAGCTCTCGGTATTCTCCATTTTCACTCCACATAAACTAAATTGTGTTATAGTAGTCACTATTCGAGGAAAAATCTTAACACGGCGATTCAGAAATAACGCAAAATAGGTCAATGCCATCTAGCGGATTCTTAATGAACTAAAAGTAAACATTCTGGCTTGAGGCTGTATATTACTTAAAGTAGGTACAGAAGTAGTAACCTTCTTTTGATCAATAGAGGGCGCTGTACAATTAGCCATATAAAATTGTCATATATTTTTAGCGACAACTGTCACAATAATCCCATGGTCCATATAACTTTTCACAACAACACACGATAGATTTATAACAATCGGACGTATAATAATGGAACAAACTTACAAACAACCATTAATTTTTATGTATGTAAACTATCAGGTCATTCTTGATCGATAATATATGTTTCATTTCTGATCAAGTAATCTCACAGTAAAAAAAAAAATATTCCGTAGCCAATACACAATTGTAAACCTCATTCATTGATTCGATATATTTATATCTATCTACATTTTTAAAGTATTACCCGTCACGATCAAAAACAAAAAATAGATTATATATCGCCACCATATTTTTAAAGCAGTCTTTCTTACATTGATTTCACAACATTACATAATTATAAAAACTATATTATGTTAATGCAGTTGACCTCGAAACTAAAATCCAGAAAAATCAAGATTTTTTTAAAAAAACCTGCTCACATAAATAATATAAAACACGTTTTTAAATTTAATTTAAAAGCGTTTGTCTTACTCTACAAATAAGTCAATTAAATATGTTGCAACAAAATGAAATGTTTAACTGTGAGTTAAAAACTGCATACTCCGTACAATGTTTTTATCTGTCTATAACCATAGCATATCTATGTGTGTAAAAAAAAATGTTTTAAGTTCTTAGGTTTTTCCGATTGTTACACGACAGTAATTGACACTGACCATAAACTGAAAGGCACCGAAACGTTTTGTTTCAAAAATAAATATAGATTTTATTTTTATAATACAAGGTGACGGGACGAACCAGTCGTGCGCCTGGTGGTAAGCGACACGCCTCCATTCATAACAGTTGCCACTCAGAGCTTTAAATCGCAAAGATCTTAAGGGCATTACCACTGCGCCCGTCACCCTAAGAAGTAAGTTGACAAGTCCCATGTGCCTATAATTTCACCAGCACACTACCCTTCCAAACCGGATCGCCGTAATGCTGACACTACTGCGTGGCGGCAGAGGTAAGGTGGCAGTACTTCCCTGGACGAACTCTTTCACAAGAAGCTTTACTGCTGCTAAAGTACTAAACTAACTAAAGCTGCTTCTAAAGAGTTTGAGATAATGTGCTTTATTATCAGCATGGAATCCCCTCGATTACAAGTTGTATACACACGTGGATAGAGCTCAACATTCTCGTAATTGCCAGTACGTCTAGCATGAATTTACAGTGCGGATGGTCTCTAGCGACTGCGTACAATATTGGTTTGACATAATTCTAGTTTTTCTTTTGCCCCCTAGCGATTTCGAATTCATAGTCTTCGCTACTGAAAGGGTCCATACTACAAGCGCGTTCTATACAAACCAAGTTTTTTATTCTACTTTTGGGTACTAACCAATCAAACCCTATTACTATAATAAACATTCAGTAAGGACTTTCAGTACGGCAGCATTTCCGTGTCTCTTGTATAGTTCTAGCGAACTCTTTCACAAGGAACTCTACTCCTTTTAGATTTAGATCCGAAGAAACTGTTTCATTTCTTGAAAATATATACACTGAAACTTATAATTTTAGGTTGTAAAGTCTTCACTCACCGATCATAGGTCCAATGCTCAAACTAAGTCCACCAGACAACAGCATATAAAGGCCATAAGCAGAAGGATATCTCTCAATCGGTACATAGTCGGCCATTACGATGGGCTGGGCTATATGTACTAGCGATCTTAGACCTCCTAGAATGCCGGTGATAATCAGTAATGGTAGGTAGGTTGTGAATTGAATGAGCACTGTAACAAAAAAAGATTAACTAGCTGATTACATGTTGTAATAGAGTTAAGCTATGGCAGCCTAATGGCTTGACCTACTGTCTCTCAAGCGAAGGCCGTAGGTTCGAATTCGAGTTTCTTTTTTATAACATCTAGTAATAGGACGAACAAGTCGTGCGCCTGATGGTAAGCTTCACACACGCCTCTAATTGGGAAAGTGGACCATTTGGATAAGTGGACCGATCGGGAAAGTAGACCGATTGTACCGAAGGGGCCTGTCCATAGCAGTACCAGTGCCATTCAGAGCTTTAAATCGTATAGATCAGAGGGGCACTGCCACTTTGCCCGTCACCCTGAGATATAAGTTGACAAGTCCCATGTGCCTGTAATTTCACCATTAAAAACCGGAACACAGTAATTTTTAAGGAAGAGTCTCGGAATTTGTGTGCGAAATTTAATTTGAAATTTGCCGTGAGCTTCTCGGTAAAGGAAAACATTGTTATGAAACCTGCACTTCGAAGAAGAAGAAGAAGGTTCACCACACTCGGAAAAGGTATTAAGTCCCCAACCTGCACTGGGCCAGCGTGACGGACTCCGGCCTAAACCTTCGCCTGAGAAGAGACCCTTGCCTATCAGTGGGACGTATAAAAGGGTTGATGATTGATGATGATGATAAATTAAAAACGTAATGGTTACTACCCAAGTCTGAGTACCCACTGCAAGTTTACTGGCTAGATTTTCGTTACGTTGAGTAAGTGAGGCGGCGTGGAGATATTAAAATAAAAAACATACAACTTTTCTTAGTGAACAATTGTATTACGAGCGTACGGATAGGTGTTAATTTTATGAAATCAGTTGGGTTCTCTCAATTGTTTATGCCCAATATAAATATTTATATTATTTATTAAGAAATTAGTTAGGCTGCTAGTGGTGTAAAAAAACCCAACTTCAAGTTTACCGCACACGGGTACTCAAGGTAATAAATTACAAAAACCATTAAAAAAAAACAAAAAGATGATTGGATTCCGCCACCCCTTCTCTATCATCGTAGGCTGGAGTTCCACTCCTATTTGTGGATATTATAAGTATTACGTTTCCTTCTTTATACGGCGTACGGCTATGAAGTGGATTTTCCTGTCTGCTGACCTATTCCCTTGGCAAGGCGAGATTGAATAGGCATTATATAGGTGTGCATGCTCTATCGTCGATCTCCCCACCACTTTCCGTCAGGTAAGATGGAGGCAAAAAATGCACACTTATTTTTTTTGTAAAAGAAACGCACATTGATTTCTTAATGCTAATTAGACCAGTAAGATGGTATAGCTAAATATATGTATAATACAAATGATTTTTTAATAGATTTTTTATTCCACGTTTTTTTATTTTCCTAATTTTTCGTCTTACCATATAAAGCTGTATAAGCGGTTCATATACTTGTTTGAAACATAAAATAAAACGTAAAACGTAAACTTCCCAGAGTCGTAGAATTAATGTGGTTTGTTTTAATGATAGGAATGTTATCATAAAGTAGGCGATAACCTGCTTAAAACAAAGGACAACTTTCATGCTACAAAACTTTTGCTCTACTTTTATCTTCAGGCGTTTTCAAATATTTTGAACTTACCTACTCGAAAAACAGCAGCGAACAAAGCTCCACTGAAGAACATGTACCGACTGTCCATTCTGAAAAACTGGCCTGATATTCCGAGCAGGAGCCTGGCCGCCATGTCTGTCGCTCCACCCAGGGAAATTATGTTCGCTATCTCCGACTGTAATAGAAAATGTAAATACAATAAGTACTGTATAGATTTTTATCGAAATACGTAAATCTCCAAGAACGAATAAATATTGCCAGTTACGGATAGTTTAACAGAATAGGTCCTTGTAAAATAATTATTCCAGGGAAATATTGCCACTTTACCTATTTCTGCCGTCAAACAGTAATGTGACCATTACTGCTTTCTGATTTTGAAGGGTAAGGGTGCTGGTGACTGACACATGGAACTTATCAACTTTATGCTACAGAGTGTACTATGTAGCACATGACGTGACTTAACATGAGTACACCTACTTACCTACGTCACGTACCTAATATAATTTTTTTTAAACGATATTTTTGATAAGTAAAGAATTAATGTCAATCCTACCCATGACTCAGCAAAATTTTAAATTGTATAAATATCTAAGTCGGGAACGCAACCTGGAACTCCGTTCTTAAAAGGCTGTTACCTCCCAGCTGGACTATAACTGCTCTAATGTGCACGGGTACAATTTAAATAATAATGTATTCCGAATGTCAACCGAGCGGTGGTAGCCTAATGAGAGAACGGTTGCTTCTCAATTAATATGGTTCGAATCCCTACGGAGGAATGTACCTATATGACTTGAATTTGTAAGTCACGTACATTTGTGAATATTTAGCAGCAATACCTCTCGCTAACGATGACGGAAGACATTGTGGTGAAACCTACATGTCGAAGATGGTTCGCATTTATTTGAAACGTGTGAAGACCCCAGCCTTATTTTTATAAGAGACCCCGCACTCTGCAGTGCATAAAGTCTGACGAAGCGCTCACGTTGAATTGGTATTGGATGTTAGGAGAAAAAAATCCTGAAAATTTCCTATCAAATGTAATGTAAATATGAAATTAGTTAACTTACTTGACTTAGATTGTTTTTATGTAGAAACATAGGCTCTAATGTAAAGAAGGTGAGGTCGGCAAAGAATGTGAGTGCCATTCCCACAATAATATTATCGTAGATGGGATCCTTTAATAACGTAAGATCCAGAAACTCGGCCACTGTTTGCCTGGATAAAGAAATTAATTTGTTTTACAAATTCATTGTAATTCACAATTTGAATTTAAAATGGAAGGTGCTTTTTGTATAACTAATTTATCTTTTCTGAGGAAGTGTACATTCAAATCAGTCTCAGTTGAAAACGTAACTAAATTATTTTCTTAAATATTATATGAAATTTTATACGTTAACAAACTTTTTTGTTTGCGTTAACAAACTTACTTTTTTGCATTAAAAAAACATAATATATGGGCTTCCACAAGGACCCGTTTTAGGGCCGTGACAATTTATAATTCATGATACAGGTAATACTCGTATAAAAAAACCATTACAAATTAAAAATAGTGACTAGCTTTATTAAATTAAAGTAAACAACTCGCAAGTCCATACTAACCATTTTCCTTCTTTATTTTTAATGATAGGCATAGGTTCAGCTGCAATGCTTCCAAAATTACCCAAACTTGAAACCGAAGCGGCTTTATATAAATTCTCCAAGTACACATTGTCACTGGAATCGAAATTGCCACTTCGACGATCACTGGGTATCAAAACCACAGGAATACTTAATCGTCTGGAATCGTGTAATTTCGGTACTAAGAGCCATTCCGACCCTTTCCTGGCGCATTCTGCTCGGTTATAAAGGAACAAATTTTCTACCGACTTCGTGTTGTCCGCTTTTTGACCGTTTGCTTTGAACTCGAATTTGTCTTTTCCTGATTCAATAACCGGGGTTGGAGGGATCACTGGAAATTTAATTTCGATGGTTCATACACTGCGAAGTTTTTGTATAATTTTCCTAATATGGACACTGACAATTTTTATACTACTGTTGATGTAATTACAAATTGCATGGTTTTTATAAATTTCAAATGATGTCGAGTGCTTAGGTTTTTACGATTGTTATACATAGGAAATAAAACTATTTTTTGTGATGTTCAGCCGTGACCATGGTACCTGTAATCGTCGTTTTGTTTGAAAAAGCTAATATACGCGATTTAGATAGAAAAGATGGTAATCTTTGTAAGGTTTTTTGAAACTACACAAACTCTGAGCTTTTTTGAGTTTAATTAAGTGAATTCATAATATTTTAGTATCAAATTAATCGTAACAAAGATACTTACAAACAATTTTTTCGCATGATTTCAGCTGTTTAACCATATGCCATTGAACAGGATGCATTACCATTGCCCCAAATATACTATGCGCAGATATAGCGCACAATATTGCTAAAGTCCCTCGGAACCCGAACTCATTTATTGTAAACTTGATGAATAATGGGTAAACCATCGTTATCAACCCAATAGATGCCTTACACAGACTAAGATAAAGCACTTTTTTCTTCGTAAAGTAGCTATTGAAGCTTGTGTATGAAACGGGTATGAGTAGCCCCATTCCTAAGCCTTGTAGGAATCCATTAGTTATGATAAGTTGTGTTGTAGATACCACAAAGATTGCCAAAAATGAAGCTACGGTGTATATAAAGGCTCCGATAAGACCGACTTGACGTAATGATAACCTCTTTAGCGCTATATTTGCTGAGAATCCTGGAACAAATAAAGACAACGGTATAACATCTAAGTGTAACATCAAAGTCATTACGTACAAAGGTTGAGAGCGTAAAATGAAAAAGAAATGGTATTAAACAGGTTCCGAACGTGACTTGATCACCTTTATTAGCTGTGCTTAGGCCGCTGTTTAGTTATACTTTGTAAATAATAGAAGGTTTACAAGGATATACAAGAAAATTATCATTGTAAAAAAATCAGCACGTCAAGCCCAGAATAAAGACAAAATAACAAAAAAATTTGTTTTTTATAACACCAAGTTTAATATCAAGAGACAGAATGAACAAGTCGAGCATCTGGTAATAAGTAACACGCCTACCCATAACAGTTGTAGTGCCATTCAGAGATTTAATCGCAAACGTTCCAGGAGCACTTCCACCAAGTCCCTTGTGCATGTAATTTCAACCTTTCGAAACCAGAACACAGCAATGCGCGCATTACTGCTTGGCGACAAAAATAGATAAGGTGGCAGTACTTTCTTGGACCAAACTCTTTCACAAGAAACTATGCTGCTTTTTATGCATAATATTTTAGTTGATAACGTTAAGGTAACAATAATAGTATCGATTTAACCACACACCTATAGAATCAATAATTCAATGTATATCATTCCACCAACACAGAATTATGTTGGAGTTCATTACATTAGACAAACATAACGATGAATATAATGACATGTTATTTAATTTAATATTGTTAATAGTATATCGTACAGTCAAGAGAACATGTGGCTTGACACTTTGGACCGTTCTTATAACAAAAGGTATAAGTAGCAGCCACGGTGAGGCAACAGGCACTGGTTCGAGTTCATTCGGATCAAACACATTTGTGACTTTCTTTGATCTTTGCATCAATAATAGTAACAAATTAGTGGAGTATTTAAAAAAAAAAACGGTAGTAAACACATTACGACATTCAATAGAAATAAATATTGTAAGCGGCAATTCGCTCCAGTGAATTAAAATTTTACAAATCAAACTTGATGACAGTTGGTTCTAATTTTTAATCTTCATTTTTTTTACCGTCTTTAAAAAAGAAGGAAGTGTTCAATTCGACTATATCTTTTTTATTTGAACCGATTGCATTTGTGAACAGATTTTGATGATTCTATTTTGTTGGAAAGACGGTACCTCAGTAGTCTCATTTAAATTTGAAGAAAATTTTCCACCTCTAAGGGTGGCAAACTAGGGGATGAATTACTTGTGAGATCGGTTTTTTTAATACTCTGTACTGAGAATATTTGTGGTGTAGTTATGTATTAAATTAAGTGAAATGTTAATTACTTATTAGTTTTGTATTTGGCTAGATTGTAATGTATTTATGATGTACTTTATTGGTGCCTTATAAATAAATGAAAAAAAAAAATGTTGTAGTACATATTCCACCTATAAGAGTCGTTGCTATCTCAGCTTGAATTCATATTTTTCCCGTACTAATACCGGTCCATTCTGCTTGAGTCGATCGGCAGGGACACTAGCTTTATTTCAGAATTTATTTTTTTACGAACGAAATTAAAACCATTTGAAAAATGTATATATCGTATAGTATACGCTGTAGTGTATGCACATAATAGTGCCATACACATTAGACAATATAAGTTAAATTACGGCCCGCCGTTCCCGCACTACGACACTAGACAGTGGTGTGAGCGGACGTATCCCACGGTACGTGAAGTAAGCACATGTTGTTTCTTTGAGCTGTCCTAAGGGTCGTATTCTAGAACTCTACTCAATGCTCAAGTTAGGATTGCACTGGAAACACAAGCACTGGAAATACGACCCTAATGGCAGGGACTTGAATATGACTTCGAGTGCTTTAAACCATACTCAAATCCTGACTTGAGCATTGAGTAGAGTTCTAGAATACGACCCTAAGTATCGTAAACGCCACAAACGCGTTCTATTTAGTTCAATTGATATAAAAATAAAATCAATTGTGTATATAAAGTACCTATTGAATACAGCAGTTTTGTATAATTTTGAATAAATTTGTGTTTCTATCGTGAAAATTTTTAAGAATCGTGTTTTCACACCGTATAGTAATCAGTGTACATCTTCAATTATAATAATTATAAATATATAGTAAATTCTTTTTCCAACGCAATTGATTCACCACTTTCACTACTATGCGGAATCGATTAAAGCCATTTGAGGTTGCATAGACTCTTAGGGATATTACGGGATGAATATAGTTTATTTAATTTACACACTTCCCGTTAATCGATTTCAATAAAACTTGGCACATATATTTCTTTATAAAATGTAAGTTCGCATTTGACCTCCATCTCACCAGATGAAAAGTGACGACGACCTATTCACTCTCGCCGTGAAAAGGATCATTATAACGTTGTGGAAATTAGAAATATGGAAATATAGAAATGTGGAAGCTTAACGCTACGTGCGAATCTTTGGAATATTCACAACATATAAGGGTGGAACCCAAGCCTACGCCTAGTCCCCCGATGATGAAAAGGGAAGGCGGAATTAAATCGTGTAATTCCATCGCACACTCTCCGTTTTCATCGCACATTTTCAGTTATTGTTGAGGAGAATACGGTAACGAACACATCAAAAGCGTAGCTAACTTTTGAAGTAGGCTCTCTGTTAATAAAAAAAAGTTATAATTATAACAAACAATTGTTTTATGCCGTGTGAAGAATCTGCGACAACGTTTATAAAATTAGAGCTATCAGTCTTGTATATACCGTATTTAGTACCATTTCCATAACATTCAATAATGTTACCGCTTCCATCAAATGTGACGACTTACTGAGTTGACGATTGTATTAAAAATCCATGGTCATAAATAGAACGCATGAGAAGACGAGCTTTATACCTTCTCCAGGTATTATTTTATTTTGACAGCATGGATACGGCTCCTGTCATAAATTAATTCGAAGTTATTTTTCAAAAGACAATTTGTTCATATCAGTCGCCATTACGCAAGTAATAAAGGAAATGAAGGTCAACTAAAGGTCGTCAGTATTGAAATTCTATTGAACTTAACCTACAGTTATCGTGTGCGTTTGTTTTAATTGGCTTTTCTACGTACAGACGGCAGCACATCAGGTTACACATTGACGGATTACTTTGGAGGCGATATTTGAACAACAGTTTATAGCTTGATGTGCAGTTGAATGTACACAAATGGAAATAAGGAAGTAGGCCATACTTTGTTAAGGATCTTTGCGAAATAGTATTGTTTGCTGACGACACATCCTTGATTTTTAAATATTTATTTATTTATTTAATGCTAAGAAGACAAAGTGTATTAAATTTGAATTATCTAATGTAAAATCGACTACTTAAATCATGCAAATAAATGGAGAAAAGTTGGACTTTGTTAATAAAGTACACGGTTGCGCGAACACACATGCCGCGCTGTTATTGAGTACGAAGTTGCCCTACTTGTTCTTATTCTACTATCCAGCTAGCGTGAATAACAATGGCTTTTACTCTCTACTAAAGGGATATCAATGGTCATTAGTAGGTCCTAAACGAGTTTGTAATGAAGTTTGAACCCCATTAGATCGACTTTAATAGTATATACGCAGATTGTCGAGCTGGACTATATAGAAGAGCGTAAAATTGTACTATAGTTTCATTTAGGTCCTACTATACGTTATAGGGCTTTCATCACCTGATAAGATCTGCCATCAGGACGCTTAGATTTTACATTCCATCATCATCACGTCATGCATATAATATGATACTAACGTATTAAAGCCAAAAATGCAATGCTGAGTGCATTATTTGTCTGTACACAAGGAACACAATACTTCAGATACTTGATTTTTTCAATAACATAACGCACCATTGGTGTAATTAGGCCGTATCTGCAAAATGACAATTATTACAACAGGCTTAATGATTGTACGAACGAAATTGGTAGATAACTTTTTAATGATTATTAGTACCAAGATCGTCCTTCGATCTAGAAAACCGCTCTACCAACTGAGCTAAAGATCGAGTCAGCAGACCTTACGGTTTTCTCTATGCGTTTGTTATAGATCATTGTTTTTTTTTAAAGTTTTTCTCCACTAAACCTGGTACCGTTACAACTATCAGAGATGTCGAGGGATAACTCGTCGAAAAACCGAGTCGAAAGTGGAAAGAAGTCGGAAGTTCATAAGCTCACCTGTGACACATGTAACAGTGTATATATAGGTAAAACAGTAACTTTATAACTAGATATAAAGAGCATGTTTCTTCGTTTAGGCATAAGCCCCCAGACAGGTCCAATTTCGCTAAACATTTATTAGAAACAAATCCTATTTTTCCAGATTCTCATTCTTATGATCTTATGATCTTACATTTTTGCGAAAAAGGACTACGTGTGGGTGTTTTAGAACAGATGGAAATAATTAGATACAACAACAGGGGTTGTATAATAAATGAACAATTGAATTTTGCATCATCACCTTTATTAACAATAGCAACACGAACCGTTCTGAACGAGCTCACTCTTCGGCCGAGCGATGCCTCGTGGAGAAGCGAAATCTTTTTTTCCTTATCTATGGGCGAAACACATGTCGGGTATATTTTTGGTGGGGCTTGTAACAGTAGTTGCGCTTGTGTTACTTATTTTATTAATTTTATGCGGAGAGAGGGTGGAATAATTAACTACATGAAAAAATATTCAACACAAGCGCGGCTATTTTGCACGATTTCACCTTCACTAGGTTCGCGGAGTAGCAAATTAATTTACTTCCATTTTTACTACATATATTTGACAACTCTGAATCTCGACTCTTTGAAGTAGCGTGGGCACTAGATAATGAAGTTCCGGGTACGAGTCCCGGTAGGACCAAAAGGACACGAACTGTTTATTTTTAAAAACCTTGCAACATTGTATTGACAGCAAAAAGGGAGAGTAGGCTAGTAAGGTTTTCAAAACACAAGTTTTATTTTTATTTATAACGTTATTATTCACATTAACGAATCATTTTGCTTAAGAATGCAATGCTTACAAGTTAAAATTATAAGCGTGCTTATGTGCTTATATTAAAAAACCTATATGTTGGTACTGTGCGTTCATTGATTTTGAGAAGGCTTATGATCGAGTAAATAGGCATTATTTAGGTGTGCATGCTCCATTGTCGATCTCGTCGTCATTTTCCACCAAGTGAGATGGAGGTAAAAATGCATACTTATACATTTTATAAAAAAAGAGTGGCGAGGGAAGCAGTGTGCTTAGTTTTGTCTAGTTCTAGTTTCGGGGTAGATTGGCTAGCCTAGGTATAATTTTGTTTCTTTGATATTCGTAGCGCAGGGAATTTTCCTAGTGGGTAATTATTATTATATCCATATATAAAAAAACTTAGACATATAACGTTTTATGGAGAATCTTTTGATCATCTTCCATTCATTCAATCATTAGACCAGGTATACATCTCCTTTCGCTCCTGCCATACTTTACGGTGTTATGCGTCTCTGGCCCAGGCTTTGCCCGTGAATTTTACTATGTCCTCGACCCAGCAGATTTCTTCCACTTGTCCTTGGCCACCAGTCCGTCAAAGCCTTAGTCCAGTGGCCATCGTCCATCACGTCTAACCAGATGTCATGATCAACTCCACTTTTCTCTTGAATTTTTAGTAACATCTTATGTCTTACTTAGTTGTAGTAAAAATAGCAGAAAGGGAAGGTAGTGAGAATAGGGGTAATATGTGGCTAATCTTATCTAATAGGAAACCACATTATGTTAAACTTACCGGAAATAGCTAAAGTAACTTGGAAAACTCCAAAGACAACTGTGACTGCACCAGTTCCGACACCCAAATCGTCAAGAAAGTCGTTGTAAATAAACCCAAACACCGGCTGGTGGGCTGTGCCTGCAATCTGAAACAGAAAACAATTTGCTTTAAAAATCTCATGCAGGCAAAGTCGACAGTAATGTCCTAAATTATGCTCACAGGTTTTTTCATTACATAATCGCTATATGGATTTTTTAAGCAATAAGTTTTTATGCTCGATTATGCTCTGTCTATAACAATTGCAATGTCCTCAGAGCTATATATCGCAAAGATCTGAGGAGGACTGACTTACTAATTAGTACTTGGTGGCAGAAATAGATCTTAAGCAAGAAAGCCACCTGCTGTACTAGCTTAATCTGTTACACTTACAATATTGTTCTGTGTTGTTATTGTAATTCTTAATGTAAAATAAAGAATATTTCAGTATTTCATATCATCGCCATTAAACGGTTTGCTAAGTCATGATGATATATTATATACTTACCAATGCCACAATACCGCTTTAATTTGGTAATATATGAAGTTATAGGTGACACGATTTATTGGTGTCAAGAAATTTGATACCTAAAACTGGTGTTTAAAACCGGTCAAATCTGGATTTTTAGTCTTTTTTTAGATAATTACGGTAAGCTCATTATATGAAGCCAAAGGTTATTATGTAAACATAAGTGTTAAAATTCCTCATCCACATCATTTAAACGATATTTTTAGATTTGCAAAAGTAGCATACAAAAAAGGAAACTAAATCTTTTTTAATAATTTGTGAACTTTTTCTCTGAGACATAAAATAAATTAAATCAATGGATATTTTAAACTGTTCTGAGCTACGCAAGAAAATTTTTAATATGTATAAATTAACTTCGATAGTTTTATGTGGGGCCTCAAAACTAAGACAATGAGCATTGAAAATAAAATTTATATTATTTTATTATAATCAACATTTAAAACTAAGTAAATGTTGATTATAGTTGTATACTAATATTATTATTAATTATAATATAATTTGACCTGAAAACATCTTCGGAATCGCAAGCAAATTGACTTCTGGTACTCGCCGGCCGATATTACTTTTGAATATCAAATACTAATTTAGTATGCTTAAAAATAATAACAGCGTTCCTTGAATGGAGTTCGTTTAGAATTTGTCCGTAAAGCAATTAATATAAATGGAACACTTAATGCTATATTGTCCAGTAAAAAAAAATCGCCTATTTAAAACAGTACACATTTACTGACATTTAATATGGAGCTCATAATAGTACATTGTATTATAAGGGCGGCAATTTAAGAGCGACATTCAAAACCCGTTCCCGAAAGCGAAGGTTTTAATGGTCTGAACGTTTCTAATTGCTGTTCCGCCCTTGTGGCGTACAATATTTATGATCACACTTGCTAGGAAATTTAAAAATGAAGAAAATTAGAGTTTGTAATTTTTAATTTATTTACAATAAAAAATCATTACTTATTTATATTTGTAACAATAATAAATGTATTTATTCCACATATTTTTTACAGCCAAATTTGATATTGACAGTGTTAGCTTGCAACATGGCATTATGCAAGACATGTATGTCTGATCTAGATAATTAATTTTATGTATGTCTCACATATATGCATATTATAAAGATGTCATGACTGTCGTAGCGAAGAAAAGGTGGGCGTGGGCGGGCACATTGCGAGAATAGACAAGAGGCACTGGACAAGGCGAGTACTCGAGTGGAGACCCAGAGCGGATGTCAGAGGGCGCGCCAGACCAACACAGTGCTGGATGGATGACATCGGACGACCCGGATGTCGGGACTGCACGACTCGGGCACAAGATCGCCAAGAGTGGAAGAGGCCTGTATCCAAGATTGGATAACAAAACAGCCGCCATGATGATGATGATTTCAAATATCATCGTTCTTCCATAAATGCAAAAACATGCAACAGATTTGAAAAACAACATATTCTTCAAACGTTAAGTTTAAACTTATAATACTTATAATTGTAGGTGTAATAGCGACATCCCTGTGATCAGAATGTAGATGATTTAACTGTATGAGAGGGATAAGTGATTAGAAGGAAAAAAAAAACTATATACAACTTAATAAGTTTTCGGTTTCATCAAATGTGACTTTATACATTATACTCCTCTACTCTATGTTTACTTTCTCTTTTATTTAATGTATGTTGAAATATCGATTAATTTATAAAGACGTTACAAATTGTCAATTTGTCCGCGCTTGTGGCACTAAAAACCATAACCGCTCTGGGCCCATATGATAAAAATACCACCCAGTTTTTGCAGGTTACATAACTCTATAACTATAACGTGCAAATCTAGTATTAAGTACGAATCCGCCTGCATAACAGTTTTTATTGTAATATTTTCCTTGATCATTTTCTCAAAGTACTCTTGGCAGTAAAAACCGGCTTTGCCCAGTTTTATTATAACATGTTACACTTAAACTCACAATGGATCTAATAAGAGAAAAACTTGCTAATATCTTGCAACAGAATCGAATAGTTTAAATAACGTATATGATACATATTAAGTTCTAATGTTCAGTAGCAGTAGAGCTCTTTGTGAAAAAAATCTACGAGGGAAGTCCCTGCCTCCTTAGCTATTTCTAAAGGTACTGCTGAAATTACAGGCACGTGGGACTTGACAACAGTATGTCTCAGGGTGATGGGCGCAGTGGGAGTGTCTCTCAGATCTTTGCAATATAGAGTTCTGAATAAGTACTGCAATTGCTGCAATGACTGTCTATCAATTGGAATAGAAAACAAACGAAAGCTTATTTGAAAAACTTTAAAAAGTCATGTGTGTGTTTATATTATAAACATAATGTGTAAAGACATTAGTTATTTTCTAATTAATTATTATTTAGTAGTTACATATTGGTCTTCTCTACCGTGGCTACGTCTTTGCCACTCATATATACATATAACATAAATAAAGAAATGAACATAATTTTCTCTGTAAACGAGAACCTACGAACGAAAAATAGTGCTACTACGGTTTGACAAACACGTCAATTGCCTGGTCTCAAATTAGTAATTCTCTGTGTTATGAGTACCAGAGCAACGAATGATGTCTGGTGTTCTAGACACCCAGTATGGATGTAATTTCATCGTTTCCCAAATTGGTCTTACCGGAAATCGAGCCTAGTCATCTAGCGTCCACAATGCTGAACGTTACATAGCCATAGAGGTCGTCACAATTTAAAAATTGAAATTATAATTCAAAATAAATATGATCAAAACAGGAAATACAATACGTAATACAAATTAATATCAATAATTTCAGAAAGATATATAAGAATCAAAGGTCAATATTGTTTATATTTGTATCGTATTAAAATTAGTATTTATTGACGAGTAGTAAATAAGGATATCTTACGTCAAAGATACGCGCTTTCTCTGATAGAGAGAACAACAGTGGAAATTTCCAGAGCTGTGTTCGTTTACCTACTTTCCAAAGCAAACAAACGGCTCTGACGCTTCTATAATTTTTTTCACAAAACGACGAACGGTTTTTGACTCATTTTCATACTTTATAGCTGTAGTTCGACAAATATATCGATAGTTCTTCTTTGTAAACAAATTATTGCAAATGTTCACATAAAATGTTGTATTAAATAAAGAACCATTTTTTAGTAGCAGTAGAGCTTCTTGTAAAAGAGTCCAGTGACGTACTGCCACCTTACCTGTTTCTACCGCCAAGCAGTAGCTAATACTAACATTACTGCGTTCCGACTTTAAAGGGTGGACTGGTAGGGGACAAATCACATTATATATAATGGGATTTGTCACCTTATGTATCAGGGTGACGGGCCCAGTGGAAGTGCCCCTCAGACTTTTAGTTTGATAGAGAAATGAGTGTCGGAGTGAGGGAAACTGCTGAATGCAGCCTTCAACAAATGGAAACAATTTACTGTACACTTTGAGGAAAAAGAAAATCGCTAAGTTTCGAAAAAAATCGAAATAATGCCGCACAATCAATGTCTACAGAAAATGTCACTAAAATCCTACTCTCAAAATCATCTACATTTAAATAAACATTTTTTGTATTGATTGTACTGTAAACATAAGTGCTGAAGAAGTTAATTGAATAAAACGCATCGTTATGTCATTTTAGTATCAATACAATGTTATTTTACCATTTTCATGTCACATGCGAATCTCAGTCCAAAAGGTCTCCGATCATAGCATGTTAAGCGCTGAAGATCTACATATGTCTATCGTTAAATCTGAGACGGCGAAAAACTATTTGCGATCTACATCTGTTATGTCTCTCCATCATATCCCGATTTCGACATTTTTGTATAAAACACGAAAATCGGCCTCCAAGACCCAGTCTTTATATGTGTAAATATGAAGGTTTTTCGATAACATTTTCCTTCTCTTGTTCAGTACATAAATCATTACCCGCATCTTTAAGGTTCTTCTCGAGGTAAGGTTACCAGAACGACATAGTTATTGCGTAATATGTAATTAGTAAGTGCATGTAGTTAACGTTGGATAGATATCACCGGTATGGCTGCACGCACGCCTTAACTAAAAATCTTGTAGAACGGTCACGGTCTTCTGCTTCTAATTTTTGCTCCAGGATAATGGTCTGTTGTACAGGTTACTTATTAACTCTATGACATGTATAAGACCATCTGGTATCCAAATTGTAAAGCCCGATGTGTTGTGAATTGTACTTTTTGAGTTTAGAAAATATTCCTCTTTATTGTACCTATAGTAGACTGGTAAGTTAAGTGAAAAGAGTATTGTATGTTAGTAGTATATTTTTTTTTCATTCGCAGGTTCTATACGTACCTAATTGATTTTTAAAAAGTCAAAATATTTCATATTTGATGAGCTTTTACTCTAGAAATACCTATGAAAGAATTTGATAAATTTATATGTTGCAACGTTATCTCTAGAACTAATAAATCGGTGGCAAGCAAAAGTCAGTGTTACTGCGTGCACTTAAGGTTTGCAATGAATACGTAATTTTATCAAGGGCGTCTCCGACATGCTCTTGGACTACCATATGTTGTTAAATAAATCAATTTTGTGGAACTAAATCGTGCTTTGTTTTCAAATAAGCCAACGTTTCGGTCTTCTCTGATCGGCGATATAGTAAATAACTTGAAGATTCCTAGCTGGGATATGAGAAAATGTCATAGTTCTGTGACAATTTAGTCCATGAAGGAAAGGCATAAATATCTAATTGATATTAAGAACATGTGGATGTTTGTTCATCTTCACCATCATCAGCTTATCGCAGTCGACTGCTGGACATAGCTATCTCCCAAAGTGCACCATTTCGCCCGATCCTTAGCTCGACGCATCCATCTGCTGCCAGCAGCCTTTCGCAGATCATCATTCCGTCTGGCAAGAGAGCATCCTACACTACCTTTGCCAAGCCGTGATCTCCACTCAAGAACTTGCTTCCCTCATCAGTTATCGGTTCTTTAACAGATATTTGTTCCTCTATAGATAAATCAACTACATATTATACGTCGCATTTAACATAAATCGTAGCAGTTATGTCATGATTTAGTCAAAAAATAACATTACGTTATTCGAAACGTTCGCCTATCTTTATTTCCGAAATATCTCTCCTATTTATATACCAGTTGTCTGGTTATATGACACTAAGGTATAATAATAATGGTCATTGACCGAAGAAATAATCGCAATGAGTCTAGCTACATGAATAACCCCATAGTATAGTGCTCCGCTCTGGCCACAATTCACATTCTCTTAAAAAAATGTTAGCTGAATTTTTAGATTTTAGCGATTGCTGCACAATATAGAATGAAATATTTTTAGATCTACATCGCGTATGTTTGTTTTTTGAAATAGACCATATTTTTTTATAATAACAGTAAATCTAGCACGACAGGGCGCGACTTGTGCGAGAGCGACATAAGGCGCAGAATCTCAGTATCTTGCGACTTTTGTCGTTCTCGCGCAAGTTGCACTCTGTTGTGCTAGCCCCACAGGTCACGGGAGGAACAAGTCGTGCGCCTGTCCACTGCAGGTCTGCCCTCCTTATCATAACTAGCGTTATAGACCATTTTTGCCAAGTTGAGTTATTTATATATTAACATATCTCGAGCGAAACGAGATCTAGAACCTCCTTTAATCGGTTTTTTATATCTTATTATTCCTGTGTTTACTTAAAATAGCAAGTGCCTCGGTCGATTGTCCTGAGCTTCTCAGTAACATTGGTTTGCGAGTTCCAGTAGCTTCATTTTGATATACTACATGTTCCTTAGGCGAAAGTAAACTATAGACGAAATTCCTACATCATTAGAACTAGTGAGTGCTATAACAGAGTGGCGAGGCAGCATAATATTGACTTTTTCTAGTACTTCACCAGACTAACTTAACCGATTACTCTGTAATCAGTTTTTCATTCTTTTAGATAAAAGGTAATTCACGTTAGAATTTCTCTTTTACATTTTTTTTCTTCTCAATGTTTGGGTACAGTTCTAACGTAAAATTTTAGCTGATAACTTATCTGTGGAACTTGTAATTAACCATCAGTATTTATTTTTGTACTCATAGTCTAGTTTAACTTAATTACTTAGTACGTACTTAGTTATGCTCGTGATGCTATTAGACCACAACACTCACGATCCATTATAAACCTTAATATACGACAGTAACGTGAACCTGGTATAACATTATGTTAAAACAGCATTTAATAATAGGTCCACACTATGATTTAACTGCCTTCGTGGCCGAACGGTTACCATGCTGGACTGCCACGCAGAGGTCCTGGGTTCGATTCTCGGACCGGAAGAAATATTTATATGGGCTACATTGATTTCTCTCGTGAGTTTGGGTGTAATTTTGTGGTTATCTATATGTAAATACATTAGTGTTTATACATGGCACCAGGGACACAGGATTTCTCTAGTACGGGCTATGAGTGTGTGCTTTATTATTATCTTTCAGGGCACTGAATGAGGAAGTCCTGGGTTCAGTTTCCGGTAGAACAAATTTGGGAAATGGACTTTTCTAAATTGGTTCCAATATTATATATACTATTCAGTGTAGCGTCCCGGAACTTTGTTCTGGTACTCATAATACAGGGAATTCTTTAGAGACCAAGTGATTGGGCGTGATTGTCGGGCACATTATTATTATTATATTATTTTATTATATAATCGTAATATTTTAGATTTTAATATTAAGACATTTATTATATGAAATAAATTATTCCTTTCTATTAGGTTTTCCAGATCCGTAATCAGGATAATCGGTCGGTTAAATCAGTCTCAGTTTTAAAAGCCCCATCTGTCCGTGCGCGTAATATTTTTTAGTTTGCCAGAAAGTCTTAAATTACGTTTGAAATTATTTTTTCGGAGTTACTCAAATTAATTTTAATTTATTTTTAATCTTAGTCCATAATACGTTATTTAATATATGTATATTTATTTATATTTGTAATTATTTATAAATATGTTATTTAATTTTAAATTAAAAAGAAATTACTTACAAATATGACAGACAGACCGATGCACACGAGGTACCCCCATCCCCCTTCAGGAGGTACCATCTCATATTTTTCAGCTTCACTGTTGCTGCTGCAAGTATCCTGGCTCCCTTTCTCACTCATTTTCTTTTAAATATTTTCTGTCGATATCTCTAATGTTAGTATATTTTTAAAGATTGTAAGTAATTCGGTTTCTCTTTTGTTTTTGAAGACTATTTTCGGTTCACGTTTACGTTAAAACATTAACGCTCACAAATTACCGATCGTTAATAGAAATCATCCGCCTTTTATATAGCACCACTGGTGGCCCAATAAAACGGCTTACAACTATTTGTTTTGAGCTTAAAATTATAACACCTTGATTGCGGGTGGTTGAGAAGTCGCACAAATAATGTCTCCGGGTTTCCCACAGACAGATTTAACAAACAACTGCTTATTATTGTAATTGTTACCCACACAACTATAAACAATTCAAATATTTTGTTTAACTTGAAATTTATTTAATATTATTAAGGACAAATTATTTTTTCTGCGTTTTTATGTTATATAATTGATATTTTTCATTGCTAAATTTTTACAATTTTTGTAATATTTATTTTTGTTTATTTATATTTTTTACGCGCGAGGTGTGTGAACAGATCGAAGGCGGTTGATCTACTTCGATGCGCAGACGCACAGGCGGATCGGTCATTAGTCGATTGATACTTTACTAGATATTACCAGTTTTTCATTGAAAAAAACTTGATTGATAAAAAAGACTATCGTTAACAAGAAGTTATTGTGGTGTAAATTATAATTACTTTATGCTTATTTAGTTAGTTTTTTGTTCTTTCGGTACGTGACTTTCAAGTTTATAACATCAATATTATTATTTTTTTATGTTGAAGGGGAGAAATCAGATATAGACAAGTACCAGTATCTTCCCTTAGGGGATTTTTGTGACTTTATCATGACTTTATATTTACCCGTCACGCGTACTAGTGACACACGGTGTCCCAAACAATTTTGATACTGTAGCATCCTAGAGCTACACGGTGAATTTAACATACAGCTGTATTGACATCCACCATTTTTTTTTTTATTTAAAAGTTATTATTATTTTTAAATTTATATTTATTCATCAAATTTCACTTTCATACAAAAAAAATAATTAGTCAATGATAATTATAGATCTCTCCAGATGGTGACAACTCTATGCAGTAATAAAAGTCGCAGTCCGATGCAGAACGCAGGAGCAGGGGAAGGGGGGTCCTATAATCATAAAAGTTTATTTTTGGTAGTTACATTTTTTTTTTGGTAGTTTTGTAAAGTCATTGAACAAAAGTTGTTGTTTATGATGTTATAATTGTAACAGTACTATAGTTCTGTGGGTTGTTATAATATTGTACAAACAACCTTGTATTATTTGCTATGTTAACTTGAGCGCAATAACGTATCTATGTGAATTTCTGAAATATATTCACCGATTATGAATTTTGATCCATCCGTAAAGTTTTAATATACATATTTTACGAACACAAAGATGAACATCCATTTAAAATTTTTGGTATTATCCTCTTTTTTTTTTAAAGTCTTGAAATTTTTTACTTATGAAAATAACAAAGTCCTGACATGATTACGAATGACTTTTTTTAAAGTTAAGTAATTTTAAATTAAGTATAAGTACATTCTTTGATGAACAAACAATTATTTGTTTTCTATTTGTCGTGGTTTTTAAGTTGCATAAACTATACAACATTAATTATCTTAATAATCCTAACTTTGTACCTAATTACAGAGAGGTTAAACTTTTTTTTCATTGAACATCATGATGTTTTTACTACAATAGGAAGTACTGCCACCTTACCAATTTCTACCATCAAGCAGTAATGCCAGCATTACTGTGTTCCGGTTTTGAAGGACACGGATGCCGGGGATATTACAGGCACATGGTTATTGTCGACTTAGGTCTCAGGTTGACGAGCGCAGTGTCCGTATCCTTCAGATCTTTGCGATTTAAAGCTCTGAGTGGCACTGCAACTGATGTGGACAGGCGTATATTCGTAGCTCAATTGGCAGAGCTGTAGCCACGTTGAGGCGACAGACGTTGGTTCGAGTCCAGCCGAATCGAAGGAATTTTTATATCAATTGTTATAATAGCGTTTTATAATTTTAATCATACGATGCATTTAGTAACATTCGTTAATTATTTAATTTATGTTTATTAACAATAATCTTCAAGATAATGTGTACAGTTGTTGATTTGACCAAGGCTTGAGTATAGGACTTAAGTAGTCACATGATAATTATGAATACAAAGATCTTACACTTCTAGCAAAACGTCGCGTCGGCTCGAATCCGGCCGGATCGATGGAATATTTTCTAAGTTTTCGATCTTTGTATTAATAATTATAACAAACTAGTGGAGTAATTTCACATAAGAAAGTAACTGAATATCAATTCAAAAAAATTTAAATACAGTGAATAGCGACATCTCTAGCCGGTGCTGGTAGCTGTAAAGGTATCTAACTGGGTGATGAAATACTTACATAGATTTCTCATAGATGGCGCTACGGCTAAAAAGTCGTTGAAAAACCAAATAAAAATATACGACAACAAGCACATAGAAAAATTCGCGAGGTCCGCTGGTTCGTTCCGTGGCTTAGTTGGCATAGCGTTTGGCACAGTTTGCTAGAAGACGTCGGTTCGAATTTTGATTTAATTTGTATTTATAATTATAACACAACAATTCAATGAAAATTTGTCATATGATATTAAATGTCAACGTCCTTTTGTCGGTGAATGCTAGATTCTGTAAATGACGCGAAAAAAGGGTTAACGTTTAGGAACTTATAACCAGAAATAGAGACGAAATAAAGGCAATCCATTCCTGGCAACTCATCAGGTAAATGTGCCTTATATCACTTTTAAATATCAACTCTCGTTTGCGCTGAAATCACAAATTAGAAAATTGAAACAGTACAGCGCCAACAGTTGACCGGTGTGTACGTCTCCGTATATTCCAAAAATATTCTGTATTTACAGTAATAAAGACAATATCTCTAACAATGGGAGCTGTTCCATTCGGTGATGTGGGAAAAACAGCAAAATATCTAATTACAAAACAAATAGAATCACATTTCATCGGTAATTAAATATTAAATATCGACTGTGAACGGGCAATCGGTACTATCTCAATTTTGACAACTTAACAGGTAAAAAAAAATTATTTGCGTCATTTATATAGCGTCTGGTTCATTAAATGAAAATATGTAGTTTTAAATATTTTTATTACACATGTATTTACGTAAACTACGTTTAATAAACCAGATGCTGTGTAAATGATTGTTTCTTCATCCTGTAAAGTTGTCAAAATTAAGATAGTACCGGTTGCCAGTTCACAGTCGATAATATGTAATTTTGCAATTTTCGTCCATTATTGCAAAGCTCATATTACACTGGTCGTATTGAAGTGAAACAATTGTCGACACCCGTCAATTGTTTCATTCGGGCTGGTCAGTCGGAGCGCAGTTGTCACAGTAATGATTTGGCAGAATAGTTTTCAAAGAAATTAAATGACATTTCGTCTCTGTTTCTGGTTATATACTCGATAAGGAACTTAAACAACTGTAATGTGCAGCTTTAGGAAGATTCCTAAAGCTGATAGATTTAATGTTATTATTATTATAGAGATCTCTCTCTCTATATATATATATATATATATATAACTAATGTGAATGAAGATAAAAACATTAAATTTGTTCCCACTAGTTCCATGTATAGAATTTTGGGGTACAATTGTTCGACGTGGATCTGAGTACATGGAACTTCTGAGAATAAACGAATTACACGACTTGTTTTAAAGTACGATTGTTTAGTCTAATAATTGAGTATAGGATTTGATTTGTCGTTTTGCTGTTGAGCAGTGGGGTAGTAGGGTATAGGTAGTTAATTATAACTTTGTGATATTGGTAAGATAATCCGTTCTGTTGTAGATTTTTGATCTGAAAATACTAATAAGCGAATAGTGCAAGAATGATGTTTCTCATTTTTTTTACACAATAATAATAAAAATACTGAGGTTATTTCAAATAAAACCCGTGAGAGTTTTAAAAATATCGATCACCCAAGTTAACATCTTGAAATTATGTACTGCTTGTCATCAATAACCCTAAATAAACATAAGGAATTCCCAAAATATTCCGACGAATCTACCACTGTTTGCCAGATAACTCTAATAGTTAGGATAAACCATGTTTGTTTAGTAGAAAGAAAAGTAAACATTTACTATATTAATGTCAGTTTATGGTAATAATACACAAGTATCTACTTTATGATATGTCATTGTGATAAAATTTGAGTGCAGACAATAATATTGGGGAAAACATTATTTGTAGTAGTAAACTTATTCACTAAACTAACTATCAACTTATGCCTTGGGTGTCGGGCGCAGTAGATGCCCTTCAGATCTTTGCGATTTAAATATCTGAGTGGCACTGCAATTATTATGGACAAGCGTTTAGCTTACTGTCAGTTCCTTCCGTCAATTGATATTATAAAGAAACCAAGCTATTGAAGAGGCTCAGCTCTGCAGTGCACGCGATAAAAAAAATACGAAACTGTCAGACGTAGAAACCGCTAAATTGGTTTACTTTGGCTACTTTCACAGATTGACAACATACGGCATTTTGCTAAGGGGTAATCCAGCCGATATTATTAGAATCTTTGTCCTATAAAAACGTGCGGTTAGGTCAATTTACAATAAGAGCCACAGAATGTCTTTGAGAGAGAAGTTTTCGATTCTTTCTTTAGCGCCAATTTATGAAAATTTAATTTTCTTGGCAGGTTTATTCGCAAAGTCACAAATTCGTTAAAGGGGCATTGTATACGCTTCTATAATAAGATTCCGGTTAATGTATAAAATTAGTCAGTTATTTAACAAAAACATTATACTAAAGGTTATCCGTGGTAGTGACCCGTTTAACTATTTCAGATACTTCCGGTCTATATTTAAAAAATAATTGTAAATGATAAATGCGAACATGCGAACATATATCTGTTTACAAAAAGAAACCTCTGTAGATACTTACTCATTCTTCTCGGGGAATCTGCTTTAATGAGTTGTAGTGACAATTTCAAATATAACTTATGGCTTTCATATGAAATAAAGATATTTTTATAAGAAATTTGTGTTAGAAGGAAATTTATATTTAACCGATTCCAAAAATAGGAGAAGGTTCTCTATTCAACTGTTTTTTTTTGTGTGTATGTCACGCGGTTAAGAGGGTTAAGAGGGAGGTTGAGAGGGTACGTCAGTATTGGTCCCATTTAAATTTGAAGAAAATATTCCACCTCTAATGGTGGCAAACTAGGGGACGAATCCGGTTTCGCGCACTTTCCGGTAACCGATTTCAATAAAACTTGGTAAATAGATGTAATTCCA